AAAACAAGAAATCAAAAATTTTCAAATTTAAAAAGTGCAAAAAATGATCAAAAATAAAATTTAGTAGACTGGGGATCGAACCAACGCAGCTAAGGTTTAAGGCTGGATCGTCAAACAACTGAGCTATCCATGCATTTTTAGAGGTAGTAACTGAAAGAGACTGTTATCTCACCACTAGCCCCCAAAAGAGGGGCAGAGGTGGGGAGAATCTACGAACGGCAGCATGTACCACTGCAAATAGGGCTTGTATCAATAGTACCTGTATTGTGTCAATCTGTAGTATCCAGAAATACAGAAACCAATTAGTTAGTACCATTCTCGAGCTGGATAGATATCACATGAGGTCATTCGCAATTGAATTATATGACTCGCAAGTCGTAGAAGTTTATAGCATGTGCATATTGCCATTCATAAATAAATGTATTATTTATTGCCTTTTTGCACTTAACATACAACATGCTATCCGATTGATTTTGCTTTACGCGTCATATCATACATAATGTCCGACTGATTTTAATTACCTTCTGCAGCAATAAATCGTTTTGATAGGTATTATTGGATCTTGGTTCGTGTTGTAACCACCGCCAGCACTACTTTCATGACTATTCATTCAAGTCAAGAATTCAAAGATTTGCAAATCGTTTTAATTTTCAAGCAATCAATTAATGCTGTTTGCTGCTGCAACTAAATGTCAAATTTCCATAATTGAATATTAGGAAGCATAATAACAGCTTTTTTAAAGTCTAGTTATTGCATTCCAATTTGGGTCAACAACATTTAATAATATCATACGTGATATGTACATACAAAAATTATTAATATGCATGTATAAAGTTTTTGACCAGTTAAAGAACTTGTTTACTAGCCTACTGAAAGTAAGAATTTTGTCAAAAACCGTACAGAAAAATATCTGTACATATTTAAGAATTTATATACATATGTAGCGATTATTTTACAGTCACAAATCGAAATAAAATTGGAAAATTAATGTTTCGTTGCGTTTGAAGCATCACTTGGGACATTTTCAGGATAATCCTTCAGGCACGCTGCGAACACATTTTCCCGAACTGCTGGATATTGGGAAGGGCTGACTGGGTTAGGTTGACCTGGTTTTCCCAAAGTTTGATGCCTGTACTTATAATTGACGAGGTCAATGCAGCCCCTTTCTCGTCTTTGTTCTTTGCAACATTCTTCGCTTTCACACCCTCGATTCAATATCATTTCGCAGAAGTGGTGATTGGAACAGTCCATTTTCCAGGGAATTGTCCCCACTCCTCCCAGTTCTGCGCAGTTATAAACAGCTTGCGGTTTACATGTCTTGTCGCCGTTGATAGCAGTGATTTCTTTGCCGCATATTGTCGCTGGTATTCCGTACTTCCATTCATTCGGACAAGTGCAAGCCATAAAGGAAATCACAATTAGCTCAAGTCGCTTAAATTAATTAAAATTTCAATCAATCAATCAATCAATTAAACGCTTAATGACATTTACCTGTAGTATGTCAATCTGTAGTACCCAGAAATACAGAAACCAATTAGTTAATATCATTCCTCAGCTGGATAGGTATCACATATGTCGTTCACAATTGAATTATAGCTCGAAATTCGTCGAAGTTTAGGCCATGTGCATAATACAGTTCTTTAATAAGCATTATTGGTTGTCTTTTTTCTACACTTTAACATAACAGATATCTAATTGATTTTACGTACCTATTGTTCGCGTTATATTTAATATCCGACTGATTTTAATTATTTTCTGTAACAATCGATCATTTTATAGGTTTTATTGGATCCTCGTTCTTGCTGCAACCACCGGAATCGCAATTTTTATGACTGTTCATTCAAGCCAAGAATTCAAGGACAACCCAGTCGCTATACTCTTCAAGCCTTCCAGACTTCCAATTAAAAATGTCACATTTCCACAATTGACTATTGGGAAGCATAATAACATCCATGACCAATTTGTTAAACAATTATGGAGGTGACTTATTTTAATCGCAATATTTTTTTACTAAATCATAAATAAATCCATCTGCAAGCTCGCATTAGTAATTTTTGTATATTATGAAACTAGGCTTCAGAAAGAACGTCAAGATGCAATTGCAGTCATAAAGCTTAACGGGCTGGAATTGAATCAAGATCAAGCAACAAAGTCCCTAATTCTAATGAAAATGTTCTGCCAACCATGATTAAGAGGTTCCAACTGGCGTCCAACTGAAGATCCTCCTAACCCAAGCGACGGTCTCATGCTAAATTTTGACTTCGATAACATTAGATTACTGGATTTTGGCGAAGGCAATACTTTCGAGATGGGTTTAGCTGCAAAGATCATAGAGGTTTTCTTCAAATTCATGAAATGTATGTATATATGGTAGATAATTTAAGCATAATGTTATCAAATCCTGCCTTATAGGGGACCACCAAATGCACTGAAATGATGCTGGCTTGCACATTTAATTCAATTCAAGTGGATTGTTCTGAACTGTTTAAGGATATCTACACAGAATCTGGTCCTGCATGCAGCTTTAATTCCATGCCCTCCAACTTGTTGAGAAAGTATGCTTTCAATTTTACGCGAAAAATATTCAGCATTATTAATCATATTACTTCATTAGGCAACAAACATTCATTACCATGCTTGAGAAAATGCAACGGAACATTAGTGGAGCAGAAAACGACACATGGAAAGCCTGGAACGTGAAGAAAAATTTCCAAACCAATATTACTCGAGGAGGCAAGAAGATAGGGATTCCAGAATTTCAAGAGCAGGAAGGGGAGTGGTTTGGCTTTGAATTCGTCATAAAATATCCTAAACGTGGAAAATATTGTCGCCAGTCTGACTCCAGCAACTATCGGGTACCGAAAAAACTGTCGAAAGTATCTTTAGTACATAATCAGTTACTAATTTGTAATTTTTTAAGATGACGGTAAACTTCCCTCTTGATGAGCCCAACTTGCGAGATCATGGAAGGGACATCCCTCCAGGTTATAAGGTGATTAATGTCATTAAACCAAGGGTTATAATGGCAGAGGAGGATTCGCGACCTGCGCCACCAGTGAGTTATTTTTAGTCAACTGTCTCTTAAGTACATACATAAACACGTTCAATACTAATTTACCCTTTTCAAAACAGGAAAAGAGGGGCTGCTATTTCGCTACCGAAAGAAAGCTTGCATTCTACAATAGTTACACTGAAAGCAATTGTTGGAGGGAATGCACTGTCAATGCGACTTTAAAGAATTGTGGATGCAGCAGAGTGTACCATCCACGTGAATAAATTAAATACTTGTTTTTCTCATTCATACTAATTAATAACGTAATCATGAATTAATCTATTACATTATGACACTGTTTCAGGGAATTCTGATAACAGGATCTGTTCAACAAGAGATGATGAAATTTGTGCAAATGGCGTAGAATGTATGAATCTTAATTTTTATTTATAGTATAATGTAAAAAACAATTGTGATTGACTAATTAGTTTTTACTATTTCAGCCAACCGAAACGGCTCCAGAAATTGCAAATGCCTTCCAGGATACAACGAGATAACGTATGAAATGACCACGACACTAGTTCCATACCCAGAAAATGAGGTTCCTGAGCTGGTTCAAGACTTTCTTAAAGGGTAAAAACTTATGACCTGATTTTTGTTCCACTACAAAGTCCAATTCTAATTTTATGACTTTGACAGTGACGACGACACCCCAACATCAATTGTCATCACGTACATGGAAGCTGCCTCTGTTCTTGTAGTCACTTCAAAACATCGCTTCGACTGGTTTGAGCAACTTGGTAAGTAAAAAAAAATAAAAACTGTTTCTGCTTTCACTTCTTGCTTTCTCTCATAAAAATGTATCCACATCTTTCACCATTAAGGATTGCATGGGGGCAATTGGGGATTAACGAGTGGCCTGGGACTCTTGGACCTTGGAAGACTAATTTTCTCCGTGATTTATGTCTTTGTCATCACTGGCCTTGTTTCCTACGTGGCGAAATGTTGTTGGTGTTCACGGCCAGAAGAGAGTCATTCCAAAATGGCCGAGTTGTACATGACAGCAATGACACTCCCGATGGGTATCGCCATGCCTGACGCTGTTCGAGTAGGCCAACTAACCAACTATCCGAAAATGCCACAAATTGTCAAGGATTACATGGAAGACTTTGTAAAATCAAAGCAACCAGAACTGGAAGAAAGTGACGTTGATCACGAAAATGAGAATGGCATTGAAGTTATCACAGAGCAACCAACTTCATCCTCCCCCGAACGACCAAGCACTGCCCAAAGTGAGTCAAAATCACGAAAATTAGTTCGACCAAAATCAGCTCGAGCAATTGCAAAGTCAAAATTTCCATATTGGACGGTGGGGAATTTTTTGGAGTGGTTTCCCATTCGATATGGCATAAAAATTAAGCAGAGTCTGACAGATGATTTTGATGACGATAAAACTGGGCAATGCTGCTGCACTTCTTGCTTTCCTTGCTGTAATGCTAAAGATGAGGTGATTGTCCCCCTTGCTGAAGTTATTGTGGAGAAGGAAGCGGTGGAATTAGTCGATGAACCCGTCGCTGGGCCTAGTCGAGCTGTCGCCCCCGCGAACGCCAGCACTAATGGCACCGAACAGGAGGAAGCTTCTCAAAGCGACCCTGTCGTTCTGGAGGAAGAAGATTTTGAAGAAATGTGGCGACGGCTTTAAACTTATGCACGCTTATTTATCCAGCTTAAAGATGAGCCAATTCGCGAATTTATTTTGCATTTTTACGGTATTGATCTATGCTCTCTGCTAATATTACGCATTTTTAGTACAGCTCCAAGTGATACACGTGCGTTCAGATAAAAATTGACAATGCTTTGCTGCAACATTTAAAATTTAAATAATTTAACGCATGCCCAACTTGATCTCATTGTGAGATTTAGAATTTAACGGATGTAATTAATTTGCAGCGTAAAGCAAATATGCATATTATACAATCTAAAAAAATTACAAAATACGAAAACAAAATAAAAAAAATGCGTCTCTTTGCAATAAATTCTGTCCATAATATTTAGAGTAGTATGCAATTGCAGATAAGTAATGACTATCTAAATACCACTAAATATTCTATTTCCCCAGTTAGTTTACACTTAATTACCTAGAACTTACTTGCTAATTAAGTTATTAATAAGGAGAATTAGTGTCCTTTAATGAATTTAATTGCTGAAACGAAGATTGAATTAATTTCGCTAAGGAATTTTTCTTTTCTGGAATAGTTATACATCTTACTGAAATTACATATTATGTAATGAATCATGCAAATTGCCATCATGCTACATAATTAACTAATTGGCATCTCACACGAGTGAAAGAGGTAAATACATAGGTATATTTGGGGATTGTGTTTACATATTTATAATTTAATTTAAAATATAGTACGATATTTGTGCCACAAAAATATCACGGGATTTTTATTCCTATTTAAAAGAACTTAAAAAAATTAAAGTTTTCTCAAAATCGTACATAAAATAATTGCACAAGTACTTATGTAAGTCAGACATATATCCACCATTCATTTCTTTTACCATCATCACAATACATTCGTTTCCTTCTTCGCACTATTAGATATTTCATAAAATGTTTTCGGGAATGTTGGTTCCTTAATTATTGAGAGTAATCAATCTTATCTTAAGTACATAATTGATTGATTGACTTGACATCATGAAGAATTAGTATGCACATAGATAACAGCTACTCATTTACAGCCAATCTGTAATTTAGACTACCTACACACATTACTTTATTAAAAAGTGTAACGGCTACAAAAAAGAGGAATAAGACATCCTAATTATAAACGGCAGTCAATTAAAGCCTGAACTAAAAATTGGCAAGTACTTATTTAAGATAAGATATCAAGGTCCCAGATAACAAAGACTAATATCTAGATTGTTTCATTTCATGAATAATGGTAAGTACTTAAGTGTACATTATAGTTGAAGTTTCTGGATATAGTTTAGTTGTTAAAAGTGAGAAATTGAATTGATAAAATGACTATAACTACATAATATTATCTAAACTTAATTAGTGACATGAGAGGGACAATAATAATAGGAATGACAATGAGACAGACACAAAAATTTGCACTCCATCTGTAAAATACTCCCCACGAAATACTCATATGTACGTGACAACATTTGTGGAAATTGACGAGTCATCGACGTGTTATTGATTTACATATTTTTTATTTATATAGTTGTTTGACTATCGTTTACAGGATTACATTTCCGAGGAAGAGTGAGAATGAGGTCTTGAGCGTTGACGCCGTCTGGCCAACTCGGATTGAACGATGGGGCCCAACGGGGGGGCCTTCGGACTTTGCGACAGCGCAGAGTACGTGGCTTGGATGGCACTCTAAAATTTAAAAAACGAGAATTATTATGTATCTTTTTTGAAATTTTTGTAAAATATGCATATGTACCTTGAGTGACGAGGGATACTCGATCGGTAACGCTTGGGATGGCAGAGTACCACGATTCTTAAGCCAGAGGCAGTGAGCAATATCTTTCGCAAAGGGACGCTTCGCCGGGTCGACGTCCAACATTTTACGAACTATATTTTTCGCCGGGTCCGAAACATGATTCCAATTTGCAGACGTGATGTCTATCTCACCGTTACCAATGCGAGACAGGATCATGGCTGGGGGATCATTCGCTCCTGTGGCGAAGGGCGTTTTCCTACAAGAAAAAAAATATGTCATATTAAAACTATTTTCAACAAGTTATCTGCATATCGATTCATACCCTGACAACATTGTGTACAGAATGACACCCAGAGACCAAATATCACACGCCGCATCGTACCCCTGCTTCCGGAGGACTTCAGGCGCAACAAAGTTTGCCGTGTAGCATGGCGTCATCAACAAACCGTTCTCTGCGCGGAGTTGTTTCGCAAAACCAAAATCGCACACGCGAATCCCGTCAGGTTTTTGGGCCACGTCGGCATACACAATGTTTGCGGGTTGGAGGTCCCTGTGCACGACCTTGAGAAAAAAGTACAAACCCACAATTTAATAAATATTAAAATACTATTATATTTATGAGAATCATTACGCCATGTCGATGCAAGTATGCCACCGTGTCGACTAAAACTGCCATCACGTCGGCCGCTTCACGTTCCGAGAGTCTTTTGTGCGCCAAAATTTTATCGAGGAGTTCACCCCCTCGTAATAATTCAGTGACCAGATATACTTTGGTGGCATCTTCGTACACCTATTCATACGCGGATTCGAGAGAGAGAGAGAAATGTGAAATCAATATACACAATCTCGGGGAGGAATTTGATTAAATTTTCCTTCTTCACTTACGCTGTACAACGTGACGATATGGGGATGCTGACTATGACGGAGGAGAATATCGACTTCATCATGCCATTCGCGTGACCCTTTTGAGACGATCTGTATGCAACAGAATGGAATATTCAGAATGAGGAGAAAGTAGTTCAGTCAGAGCTTAAAATATAATGAACACAGCCGCCGCAAAACCAAACCACCACGAGGCATCATTTATTTATTCAAATTGGAATATGCCTTCCGTGGTAAGTACATATTCATACTTTTGGGACTAAAAAGTCCGCAACCAGACAGACGGATGCAGACTTGCAGTAGCAGAAGTAGATATGCGTACACTTTTTCAGACAAACTTTTGCAAAAATTGTTGCAAATTTAGTTTAGGTATTATTATGTACGTACCTTGACTGCATGTTCGACCCTAGAGCTCTTATGAACACAGCGGCGACAACTGCCCAAAGAAATATTGGGAATAAGAATAATTTTGATTTGAATGCGTAATCATGCAGAATTTCTGGAAAGATGTAACTTTACTCACGTTGCATAAGCACCTTTGGCAATTTCTTCCTTCATTTCGTAATCGTCTAGAATATTGCTGGTCCGTATAGCCTGGAAAAGGGTAAAAATAAGGCTCGTTTATCAAAACCAACGCCACAGTCAAGGTATCATATCCTGTCTGAAATATGTAGAATATGAAATCGCAACCAGAGAGAGAAAACTAAAACTAATCTGTCTGGCTTCCTTCTCCGAGTAAGAAAAGAACTCAATGTAAATACAAATCCTTTCCCATACATACATAAAAATGGCATGAATATAATAATTCATTCATTCATTTCATATCCCACATTGTGTGGCGAGACTGTCGGAAAAAGTAACTTTCATTCAACCCTCAGAAACATTTCAAAAGCGAAATTGAGAAGATTTCTTGACTGTGAAATTTTGAATTTTAATTGACACGCATGAAAATGAACCTCGTAAAATTATGCGTGTCATGAAATTTTGAATTTACAGGGAAGACGCATTGTCAGATTATGTCATGTGCCCTGACAAACAGTACAATTTCGAGATTGCTTGTCCCTAATAATTTACAAGGTTGCGAAAAAATGGGGCAATTTTCCATCTACGACAGAACAAGATTAGACTTTCAATTCCTTACGGATCTGAATATTTCTGGCGTGGGGGGGAACCCCACCATCTTAAACTCTCTTCTAGTACCTTCCCCGGGTCGTATTCTAAAAGTCAAGTATGAGTAAACTTGTGTCTAGGTATTCAAGTTCTTACAGTAGCATAGTTTTGAAATCGTAAAGCCCTTCAAGGGTACCTCCAGTTCAATTGAGGTATTTGGTTTCATCTTTGACTATTTTGAAGTGAAAAAAATCAGAGATATAACTGGCCAGTGGCTCTACAAGATTCTAAAACGACTTTTAATTGATCAACGTACGCTAAAAAAATCACCATATAAGTGAGATAAGTGGCCCACTCTGTACATATAATAATACCCTAATTATTATGACATGTAGTGACATACATATGTAAAACAATAGCCAATTTCCAGGGTTTGTTAGGTTCGACATTTTATTCAGTATTTTCATAGAAACAAATAGAGATGAATTTATTACACTAAATCATAATATCACAGTTCAATTTTTATCAATGTGATCAGCAACGATCCCAGGGTTTTTTTTGGTCCGTTTACTTGCGACTTATTGAGACTGCGCCTTTACAACCACCCCCACCCGGCTTCGGCCGGGTGGGGTTTTTTTTTGGTCCGTTTACTTGCGACTTATTGAGACTGCCCAAGTTTTTGCTAAATGGAAGACACAATAAAAGAGAATTAAATACAACATAAATCTAACGTTGCTCTTTGGAATATTTGGTGGCCCTTATAAGGGCCGTTGGGCCGGTTTTGGTAAGGTTATCTCCTTTCGTGAAATTGGACCAGTAAAGAGCTGGCCGTTTTTGGTAAGGTTATCTCCTTTCGTGAAATTGGACCAGTAAAGAGCTGGCCGTTTTTGGTAAGGTTATCTCCTTTCGTGACGGTTTGCTAGGACGTATTAAGTACTTCATGATATCCAAGCCAAATTCATGTAGCACCAATTGTGGTCCCCTTCCAGGTCAGGAAAGACGTCCTTCAGAATTCTGCCGAAGTATTTAATGTCCATTTCATGTTGTGGACAAGCTTGATACACCGTCTGCTTGAGTAACCTGTCCTTAACTTTCAGAGTATTTACAATCTTGATACTGTTTTTCATCCAGACACGAGCTTCAAGGACACGTTTCGTAGGTCTCACGCTTGCACCATCCTTGACTGTAGACCTTCCTGTAGACTTATTTGTGCGTTCCCAGGTTATCCACTCTTCTCTGGCTTCTTCCGACAAAGAATCCTGATCGATGTTCCAAGGGGTTGGTTGTTGCTGTCCATTATTGGAATCCCCCACATAATATTCGCTTTTAGATCCCCTGTAGTAAAGGTGATACCTTGCAATTGTCCCAACAAGGAATTTAGAGAAAGGGATTGCATTCTTGAATTCGTCCACAGATGGGAGTATAGGCTGTAGATGCACGTTAGTCCTTAATGCCTGCACTATATCCTCCGCGTAAGGTTTAAGTTTGATAAGGGAAGGCGCTGAACTCAATGAACACACGGAATCCAAAGCAGCTAAAAGTAAACCAACGTATCATAGGTAAATTGTCCGAACATTTTCAAACTTCGATTATACTGATGTTTATCATTGTGGATCAGTATTTACCTCTCAGTCCCATTCTAACAATTGTACCGCTGGCAACAGTGGACGACCTTAACGGCAAAACCTCGACATCAGAGGCCAGATAATCCATTTCACCAGATTGTAGAAAATATCTATGGAGAAGTAATACTTTATAGTCTTGACTGTTTACAACAATACAACTTCTGTGCTTACCTTATGGCGCAGTGATCATTAAGGTCGTCCTCAGATTTATACTCTCCGAGGTTTTCCGTCCTTACAAGTTGGGCACGATCTTCAGCCTTCACCGATGTAGTTGACATTCCAATAATGATATGGCCATTCAACCTCTTGCTCCTGTCACGAACAGGGGCCCAGTACATTTCGTGCCCTGGTAATAAAGTATGATGCATATTAAATTACTAATCCTTGTTCATTTATTTATTCTTAGTTACCAGCAACTTGTGCTTCTCCTTTAATATAAAAAAGTAATCCGTCCTCTTCGACTTTTAACTGCAACGGAAGATCAGACTGCAAAAAATAGTAAAATAAGGGTCATTGTGGATTATTTTAAATTTTATACCTAATTATTTAGCATATCAACAGTGAATATAAGCATAGGTCTATCAAGATTCGTAAGTTCTTTATCGGGGTTCACTTACTTCTATTTTCTTAAATTTGTTGATGCCGGTATCCGATCTCGCCCTCTTCTCGGATGTACTTGGTCGTGGGGAATTTTGTGACGACGACTGCGACGAGAACATCAATTCTCCCAACCCCCCTTGCAGTCCTTCCATTCTCAGCTGCTCATTCTGTCCCTCCGGTTCGGATGGGTTCAGTTTCCCGTTTCCCCGACCTGCTCCCCTTCCTCGAATCATATCTGCCCCCCTTCCCCGACTCGTTTCTGCCCCCCCTCCACGACTAATATCTGCCCCCCTCTCCCGAGTCACATATCGTGGGGTTTCGAAGTCGTCGTCCGAATCATTTGACTAAATATATAACAAATTGAACTTAACGATCTATACACACAATAATCATATTCTATAGTGTCATGATATGATAAACCGATTTTAGTGTGAATCGATTACTGGTGACACTCGATTAAAGACCAAACAAACAAACATATGTCCAAAAACCTTACCTGTTCCTCGTTTCCTGGTCTGAACTTGGACCCTCTTCCTAACCCCTCATGTTGCGAGTCCATTTTCCAAGTTCAACTTATAATGAAAGTTTAAATTTCACTTTACGCAACTAGTAAAAACGTCATATTAAAAAGTGATGTCTGCTCAGCTCGAGTTATGGTGGATGAGTGAGCATCAAGATGGGAATATCCTGCTCGCTCGCTCGGTCGTCAAGCGAGCGGGTTTTATCCACTCGCACAGTGCCCCACGTAATGGTGTGGAAATATTTATCAACACTGTAAACTTTAGTTTTTTATATGACAAGTTTTCCTTTCTTTGTGGACAAAATGATGGAAACCTACTAAGTTCCCAAATTATGCGAGCTACTGTTTAGCTTGAAAAAAGTATGCGAGAGCAGAATACATCAAAACATTTGTATTTGTTGCTTAAACACAGTTACAATTTATAGAAACATGCATATTCCCGTCGTTCAACAACAAATTGTGATGCTATTTCGAATTAGTTTGACAGACAGACGGCCAGGTGAAATACGAGCATTCCTAAAATTTGTTGACCTATTTACGTACTTGATTGCAATGACGGCCAATCTGCGTTGGCTATGCGAATATCTTAGACAGCAACATTAGCGCAAGCTAATAAAATTCGAATTGGTTCCCCCAAGGCTTTTACGTTGGAATACCTCAGACGATACTTGCCTTGATGATCCATTGAATTTATTTTATTTATGTATTTTTTTGTAAAAGTGTAGTTGTCAGAGGTATTATTTTGATGCATGATGAATTTGATCTCTTTCTACACACATACGCATTAAATTAATTACACAACTTGTTGGCGAACCTTCGAGTCCCAGCTCGGAATTTGGATTGGTACGCCGGTCTGGCGACACATTTCCGGCGTTGGTTTGTTATCCGCGACAGGATTGGAAGCTGGGAGACCGTCCGAATTGATGACGTTGGAATTCGGGAGCGGAGATGCATTCATATTGTCGTCTAGTAGGCACGAAGCGATGAAGCTGAAACCTCTGAATAATTCGTGTGCGTTTGCAGATGGTGGGACGCCAGGAGAATCTGTGTGAATCAAAGTGAGGATGAATTTATGTAGGTCGAATAATCTAATCAAACCGACGCGTCGGTCCTTCTTCATCTTTCATAATTAAATTGGGGATAATTAGTTTCCGGGCTTTGGGTTTGCTTATCGATCTATCATCTCATTACGGAGGAGATAAGTCGGTTAGCACCGTTTACTTGGTTTGTAAGGAATGGGAGGAAATGGGTTTCGGCCAATTTATGTTGCTGGATGGGAGATAGTGTGTGCAAAATCGTGTCACCTCGACACCGTTTTGCACAATTTGTGTTAACTTGGAATGTAAATTTAGTGAAGATCAAGTTTCCTTAAAGTGAAATCTGGGACTTTTGCATTGTTTATCGTCGGAAAAAAATATGTCGGAAAATTGCACTTTAATGTTTGCGAAAACAAAGTGCCCAGACCCACGCAAAAATTTGGCTCGTCCCAAAGTTTCACATTCCTTGCAATTTGTGCAGCCTCGCAAAAAAAACTTCTCCTGCATAATAAAGAAACCCTACCTTTCGGCGTTCTTGATGTAAACTCCGAGTCGAAATAGAACGCGTCATCGGCTCTCGAAACGGCCGGCTTGAATGGAGGGACCACTTCCTTCAAGACCAACTTTTCCCAGTCAATCCTCTCAAAGAAGCAGTGTGACTTGATTTCAGAAACGCCTCCTGCCAAATAAAGTGAAAGTTTGCAAGTTTGTTTTTCCTATAAATCGGTGCGTTTTATATTATTTTCTCACCCGCTCCCAGTCGGTTGGCTGGATTTCGTTTGAACAGGGCACGTAGGAGGGATTGCGCTTCGGGCGAGAGGAATTGTGGCATGCCTAGCTTAGCCTTTAAAATTTGCACCATCGTCTCCTTCCGGTTGGCTCCTTGGAAAGGCAGCGAACCCGTTAGCATTTCGTACTGGAAATATTTACAAGATGGTTAACTTATTAAAAGACTGGAAATATGTAACAAATTTTTTATGCGGTAGAAAAGTTCCACAATTTCGTGGTTTTTGATGCACTACGCCCCCACAAATCAGGGCACTCTACTGGTTGAAGTGTCCGTAAATAAGGGAACTTAATGTCCTCTCAGTAATGGTCTCTCCCACACAGGAAACATTAATCTGAGACGAGCAGGACAGGTTTAGACAAAGCGACGCAGTTAGAGACCTACGCATTGCTAAATTATATATTATTATCCAAGCCAGACAGACCACCCAACCTGCGAATTTGGTAAATATTAGCTTCTCCTAAGAAGCAGTCACATCCGCATCCTGGTTGACTCTAACTTTTCGTGTCTCCACTTTCTCCGCTACTTTCTCATTTCCGGTCGGGCGAGACTTTTAGATTCACTAAATCACGCCATGTTTTTCATAGTTTTGAGAAATTCATAAACTCAACGAAAAGAAGGTCATGTGGGATGAAAGGCTTTCACTTTCTTGGACAAAAACAAGCCTCCGTTTTTCTAAAGATTTTGCAACTAAAAGCATGTGTCGCTGGTTGGGAAATAATTAGTTTTTGCTTGAATTAAGCATTTATGATGTTTTAGCAAGTTTCTGGAAAGACTATGAACTTACTAAAACGCAGGTGAAAAAGGGATAAACTTTATTTAATTTGAGGCCCAGCAGTAGATTAAAGAACGTCCGGGAATGAATGGGAATGCGCGCTCTAGCGAGTATATTGACAAATCAATAAACCCGCGAACTATAATAATTTAAATTTCTGAAAGCCCACTTCATTAGGGTCAATTTGGTATATCACTCTTAAATTTCAAAAATGGATAAGGGTAGAAGAAGCTTGTTTGAAAGGGAGCTGTTAGCAAAACGAGTGATGGAGTTCTACAACACGACAGCCAACCGAGACTCCAAGGTGACCTGGAACTTTTTTAAGCAGGAAGGAATTCCAAGTTCAAATGTGTATTCCTACATAAAAAAGGTCAAGGATTCCGAAAATGTGCAATTCAAGAAGCCAGCTGGTCGTCCGGCGAAGCTAGCGACCACTCGAGTGAAAAATAGAATTGAAAAAATTTTCAAAACCAAGCCATCAACGTCAGTAGCTGTAGCTGCCAGGAAAGTCAAAATTTCCAAAAGCTACCTGGGGGAAATTAAGGTCCATAAATTAGGAATCAAAGCAAGGACCAAAAAACCTGCACCAAATTACAAGCCCGTACAAGAAAGTCGGATCAAGGATTGCTGTCAAAAATTGTTGAAGAAAATGCGTGGAAAAGTAGTGATCCTGGATGACGAAACGTATGTTCCGGTTGACCCTTCAAATCTTCCAGGGCGTCATTTTTTTCATAGCTCGGATCCCTCTGAAGTGGCTTATGAAGAAAAAGTACGAAAAAAGACAAATTTCCAAAGAAATATTGCATTTGGCAATGCATCTCCAGTCACGGACATGTATCAGACCCGGTAGTTCTCGAAGGGAATATCAATCAAGATATTTATCTGAAAAATTGCGTCAAGGCTGGATTGGAAGCATTTATTAATAGGTTTCACAAAAATGATAAAGTTTTGTTTTGGCCTGACCTCGCCACTTGTCACTATGCAAAGAAAGTGACCGAGTACCTCAGAAAGAAAAATATTGATTTCGTACCAAAAGATATCAACCCACCTAATGTACCCCAACTCCGCCCAATCGAAAAATTCTGGGCACGTTCTAAGTCAGTATACTCCCGGCTTCAAGATGTGCCTGACACCTTTCGAAAATTCAAAGGACGATGGAAGAAAATCACCTCGGAAGTGGCAAAAACTTCGGGAAAAAATTTAATGAAAAATCTTCGCAAGAAAATCGAACTAGTCGCCAACGGGGGTGTGGCGGCCTTAGCTATTAATTAAATTATGTAGGTACGTATTTGGTATTATACATATGCAAAAAGTTTAAAATTCCGATAACTCATTGTGATTTTATGACCACATTTTCAGACCATTCCCATTCATTCCCGGACGTTCTTTATTACGTAACGAGATATTAATCTTGTTAAGGGAGTGTTGCCTCCATTATTAATCCGACAAGAAAAGAAAAACAACAAAAACAGGCCAAAAATAGTCCTTTTTTAGCTGTGGTCTCGAAAAACTCACCATGAGCACCCCAAACGACCACCAGTCTGCTTGGTACGAGTGACCTTTACGGTTGACCACTTCGGGGGCCTGTAAATAACGCAATAAAAGACATTGTGTAACATTACATAGATCTAAATCGCATTTTTCGCCATTAATATTGTACGTACCATGTATTCCACCGTGCCGCAGAAGGAGTACGCCTTCTCGTCGTCGAGGGGTTGCTTGCTCAAGCCGAAATCGGTGAGAGATATATGTCCGTCCGAGTCCAGGAGGATGCTGTGAAAGAACGTAATAATTTTATTAGAAAATGCAGAATGAGAGTTCCAAAATCAGTGTAATAAATGAAGTTGGTTACAAAATTGTCACCGAGTATGGGTGACAATTTCCTAGCATCAGGCTCTACCGCTTTGGTAACTATTTGACATCAATTTGTGAAATTTTCTCGAACCTCTCTCTTGCGTTATTGTCGCGAAATTAATATTACCCTTTGGTAGCAGATCGTTACCAACTTATATAGTGTACATGATTATAAAAGTAGTGATAATTTCTCTACCAACTTCCATGAAATCACGAAAAGATGCAAGGAATAAGCAAAATGTTTCATATTTATAACCCAAATTAACTGCGAGAAAGTGGCAAAATAACGTCGCAGCATGATTTTATCCACCTTGGATCATATTGCGCTTATCGAGCCTAATTTGACGAAACACTGACGATGATGACGCATTAGAAATACTTCACTAACCCTTCCAACACATCAATTGAATTAATATCCATATCACAACAAGAAACAGGACACGAGTAACGATTACTTCTCATTTCCTAGAAAGTGAACATTAACTAATTATACGAGAGAAGAACAGTGAACGGATTTGTTGTTCCTACTGCTGGGAAAGGACAATTAAGTAAACGGAGGGATTTAGATAAAAGATGACATTTCTGGGTCGGATGGATTACTGCAGGGCTCAACCGACACAAAACCATAACTTTCTCCATGCACCGAAATACTTACTCGGTTTTATTTCCTAGTAATAAACTCCACTTCAAGGAATATGTTTTATTGTCCTTTAATTAGCCCCGTAATATTTTACGTACGTCTCCTTCAACTTAAGCCTCGACCATCTTTTCCTGAATGGCTCGGGTAATTAAACGAGTTGGAAATTAAGGGTGACAGTTTTGAAAAGTTTTCCGCAAGAGTTGGCATGAGTGGGGAGAATCTAAAATGTGGGTAGGATCATTAAGCGTGTGACAAATTTAGTACACATTTTGCACGGTTTTTGCAGTAATATAGGAGTAGACTTTTTTGGCGTGTTGAATAGCTAGTGATGTGCAAATTAGCAATTTTGAAAACTAAATTTAAAAGTATTTAAAACTATGTACTTAATATTTATGCTTGTAATTTTTATGAGTAAAATATTTTGTAATACTAAAACTCCATATATGTTATTTTTGTGATTATTGTTAACAAATCGTATTTTAGAAATGAATAACTATTTTTGATGATTTCATCGAGAATAGTTTTTCATATAAGAAAATTAAATTTGGATGGAAAAAGTTAACATTTTGCAAACTATAAAATAAGTTAAATTTAAAATTAATAAATGCTTAAATAAAATAAAAATTCTAATCTGAAATTTTTGGGAAAATCTTTTTGGTCAAGATAAATATGTATGTATATTACAATACATTTACATTTTTATACACTATTGAACAGCATCAGAAATTTGAAAACAACTTTGTCTCATAAAAATTCATTCATTTTCAAAATATACTTATTCGATTTCAGTAGTATTTTCAAGCTACGTCCAATCTTCCATTAATTTCAAAATAATCTTAACAACACAAATTTCCTATTTTAGGCTCCTAAATTGCGCAAAATGCCATAAATATCATCGCCCTCCACATCCACACACTCTTCAACTTCAAGTAGTCACCTTGAACTCCGCATTATTTTCGGTCATGCTTTTCTGCCCCGTCGTATTTTGATTCGACAACGGAACTCATCCTGACGTAAATTGCTCTGAATCGACTATATCCATCCATTTCCTTCCAGTTCAAAGGATAACAACTATGCCTGCCTGCGCGCTCGAGTTTCAACCCGAGGATAAATCTTTCCCTGTCAAACCACAATTGTGAAAGATCACAAGAGTTTCATCATGCAACTCAAAGTAACAGCATTTTGGGAAACTTCAAAAGATAAATATTCCCATATTTTGCATACCTATACAAAAGGCTTTGAATAATAGTAAATAATATCTAATAACCGACTCTGGAAACTATTTCCGCCATGAAGAACAAGAAGTTGAAAACAAACTGACATTAACATTAATATAATGCCCGCATTGCAGAAATAAATATATTATTTCAAAGTAGATGAAATGTAATAAAGTCAGAGTAACGCATACTTTATCGCATTAATTATACGGCCCGTTTATTGCAATTTTGCTGGCAAAATTTGAAGATATGTACGTTCGTTTCATGAATTCCTTTGTTGTTATATATGCGTGCTTGGCATTTGGCTGTGTAGCTGGTGGTGGTCGTTGTTATTGATGTTGCAAACTTTCCAGAGGATGAATCCCTACAGAGACATTTTAACAACTCACAGACTCAACTTTAAAGTCGTGACCGTGGACGTGGAGAAAGTATGTACTCGTACAGTTGTATGTGAGAGGATGGAATTTCGAGTTTTTGCATAAATTTATATCATCTCTTGCTCTCTAGTACTATCTACTCGAGAGTAAATATTGTGCACAATTTAGCCAGTTGCTTGAGAATAATGGAACAGCATTCTGATTCGGATTTCAAATACAGACAGGGTTTCGTTTTCCTCACTTTGTTGAAAGAAAAATGTGAAAAAGTGAACTTTCTCCATCTCCAGCAGAGTGGTTGTTCGTGAAGAAATGCGCTTGTTCCAATTTTCCTGTGTTTTCAGTTTTTGAAAATAATTGAACATTTTTATTGTATTCTGATCCTGATTACAAATAGAGTTTCGCTTTTCTCATTTTGTTGAACAAAAAAACGGGAAAAAGTGCACTTTCTTCATCTCCCACCGAGTAGTTGTTCGTGAAGAAATGCGCTTGTTCCAATTTTCCTGTGTTTTCAGTTTTTGAAAATAATTGAACATTTTTATAGTATTCTGATTCTGATTCTGATAGAGTTTCGTTTTTCTCACTCTGTTAAACAAACAAAAAACGACAAAAAGTGAACTTTCTCCATTTCCCACGGAGTAGTTCTTCTTCCTGGAAAAAGCATTTATTCCCGTTTTCCCCGTGCAATTCAGCTCTTATGCACTACCCGAAACCCTGCTTTCATTCATTCATTTTGAAGTGGATCAATTCCTGAATAAAAGAAAGGACCGTTGTCTTAAACATGACAATAAGAAGACGTGATCCTTTCGTTTGGATTGATGCTTGAGGATGTGTACTCAACTTTCAGGAAGGAAGGAAGTTGATACGACCAACAAGTCAGCATCACATGATTTTCCGCAGTTGAAAACTTTGTTTATTTATTCATGAAATGGAATATGCGGATGCGTGCTCTCTACTATTGTGCTGATTTCCAAGAGATTGTTTGGATTCCATGAAAGGATGGATATCTGATCGATTATTACCAAATTCAATTTATTTTTAGCATGATACAGCATCTTTTTTGTATAAAAATCTAGAAAATTTACAAATATATTGATCACATATTAGTCCGTGCAGTTTCCAGAATTTGGTAATGAGATGACTGGAAAAATTGGATTTGCAAACTTTCACATCAAACGAATTTGCGAAAGTATATTGCGAAAAAAAATGAAATTGTGGACATGAGAGAAACTCGTGGTGCCCTTCGTGTACGTAAATACACACGTAAAACATATATCATTATATGTATCGATTCTTAAAAAAAGAGGGAACGAAATTCGACACGCTCGAACAATCCAATGTTTGCCTTGCGAGAGAAGCTTTTACCACAAATTATCCGACAAGCGATGCGTTCAAAATCAGATTTCTCTCTGAAGTGCATCCCCCCCTCGAAATTAAGTGGAGAGTGAAATGAAATGTTCTTTTTTGTCAAGCTTTCAAAATAAATGGGATATTTCATCCGTTCAAATGAGCAAGGTTTGATGTGAGGTTGGACGACTTTGTATTTTTGATTGAAGTCAAGTCAATACGAGGTTCGTTCGTAAATAGCTCGTCATTAAGTGAAAGGGATCGTGTGCACTAATTGAATTTTGGAAGGAAGAAGGAAACCCGGCTAAATTTTGAATGTTATTACGAAACAACAAATATCTTTCTAAATTCGTTCCATAAGAGAGTTTATCAGGCCTTGGAAGTAATGAAGTTGGTCGGGTCGGGGTGTGTACTCGTATAATTAATGGCTTCCCTTTTAACACGACGATGACTCCGCGTCTGGTTGGCTTTATCGTTTTAACTGAAATTGACTCGTGATTTATTCCACAAAACGAAGCAAAATCCAAAAACCAGTGTTTCTTTCCAGCAGTTTTTTAGTGCTGGTGCATAAATCGGGCGAAATGTGGGGAGTAATATACCCAGACTCTGGGTCCCAGAGATGATTTCATTGTCTGATTGGGACGCCATGTAATCTTCTCCCAGACTAATTTTGTCCCAACAAAAACATTTAGGTAATTTTCATTCTTGCGGTTTCATCCTCCGTCGAAACACTGTCTCGTTCCCGATTCAGCCATACATTTCCCACCATTACTTATTAACCAACAACACGTATTACATAAATCATCAACCGCACGAAGAGTATGCTTTCCCCACCGCAAAAAGTAGATAATTAATACCACAGCGGGACACCAACCAGCACCACGGAAAAGTTGCGTAACGTAACGAAAGAAGCCAAACTAAACCAAACCAAACCACGAGACGAGGCGAGACGGGGTTACAAATCAAAATAATAATTTCGTTTTTCACTTACTTTTCCGGTTTGAGGTCACGGTAGATGATGCCGATGGAGTGGAGATGGTCTAGCGCGAGGGCGAGCTCTGCCAAGTAGAATTTGACATCCTCCTCGGTGAACATTATCTGCAAGAGACAAGCCGCAAACTCGTCATCATTTTCATTTCGACATCATTCATTATTCACTTTCACTCGGATACTTATTATCTTTCATCCTGTGGCATGCACGGCAATCTCGGGATGCACCGCAAAATTTGGCAAGGTTATTTGTCCCGATGAACTGAGAGGATGAGATGAAATGGGACCCAATAACCAACCACTTGCTTTCTCCGTCACATGTGAACATGATTAATTATATGGGATGAGTCCTTGCCTCGTGTTCGTGAGATGGGATTTGAGCTTGTCTACTATCTCGTGCGAACATGACCATGACGGAACGGAGGAGCGGAGCGTGGTATGGTGTGGTTTTAGTGAAATTATGGAACATAAGATAGCAAAATATGTATTGAGACCAGGGTTGCAAAATTAGTTTCACGTCTTTAGAAAATTTTGTAAAAAGATGGGGCTAAAATTCGAAATTTTATTTATGGAGGAATTTTATCTTCCTACTTGCGTATTTTTGTTACAAAACGTGTGTCATATTACGTGATTTTGAAGATTTTTGGCAACTAATATTTGTAATAAAGCTCACTAGAAAAAATAAAATTAATATCGTAAGAAATAAGTTGGAAGGCTGGTTTTGAATAATTAAAAAATGTAAGAGCTTGAGGACGCAAAATGTGTTAGCCAAAATAAATCGTATTAAATACAATAGGGGTTTACAATCGACTTATTTTGGTTTTCCCACAAATTATAAGTCATTTCTATAAATCAATTATAAGTGGGTTCTATTTGAATGCTCCACTTTTTGTTTAAATTTTATGTTGTATGCAATTCAGGCGACCGAATTGCATTAAACGTCAAAATCATTGCAAAAACAAACATAGTAGCTTTAAAAAGACCTAAAACTTCAACAATAGGTACAACCTTTGAATTCTTGCCTAATATATAAATTAGATGGTATTTATGAAGTGGAATGATTGAAAATTTAATCTTCACTCTCATTTGAACTCCCGATTTTAAATATTTCACTGCACTATCGTAATTAAACCAATTTCAATTATGCACCATTTGAAATAACTTGAATACGGATTAAAACTCGATTGAAAAATAATTTATTGAGCAGCAAGTGCCCTGCAGCAAATTTGAGTGATTGAAATTTCAACGGCAGCTGATGCTCAAAACAAGCGAAATAAGTGTCTTATTCCAGAAAAAAGTCAATCCAGGAGACTTATTTTCCGATCACTTATAAGTGAAATACCAGTTACTGCGCATGCTCGCGCAGTGTCACTTAAAAGTGGAAACGACTTATAAGTGGTCGGTACACTTATAAGTCAACATTTTGTAAACACCTAATATAAGATCATTTGCCCCCCAAAGGTCCCTCTACAAATATTTACGTCGACCCTGTCGTGACGCTATTTCGCCCACTTTCTCCAAAGAAAATCAATTCTTCACCAAAACAAAATCCATGAAATCCCACTTTCACCCATTTCACGGAAACCCTACGCAGTTTGTCCACTTTATTTTGCTGTGAGGATATAGAAGATACGGAAAGAGATGAATAATTATGAGTGGATGCTTCACTCTCTCCTCTTCAAGTTGACATTGACAATGAACGAGCAAATATTTAATTTGGTTTTAGTTTTCAGAGAGAATACTCTAAAACCGGTGGTGGTGGTAATTCTACACTCAGTCAGATGATGAAGGTCCAACTTTTCTATTCATCTCGCCTAATTCTATTTGCGCGTGGAGGGAAAGTCACAAAAATTAAACTCTCCCCGCAGCAGCCTGTCAGCCTTGAACTGGGGAAAGCTCTTTTCTATTTACTGGTCAAGGGGTGCGAAATATGAGCTTCACTGCAGAAAGAAAGTGAAATTATTCACGATTCAGATTAATTTCATCCCGGCGTGAAATATTCATTCTTTTCTGCACTCAGAAAGATTATTTGTACGTAATTCGACCCGGTTGTCAGTCACTTAGTAAATATTTCATCGAAAATTCAAGAAAACTCTGACAGGATTTAACTCGATGGATGCTTTTCCCTCCATTTTGTATTTTGACACTCGCTTCCCCTTGACTTTTATCAACCCGTATCAAAAATCTGGTTAGGTCGGGAAATCAAATAATCCTCGATGGATGGAGGAGAGGAAACCAGGCTCGATCAAGTGGTAGTCTCCGCTTGTGCAAATATCCGAATCCTATCATACTCACCAAACAACAGTTTTCAAGGCAGGGTTTCGAAGGATATGTTTACAAGGTTATTTTTTGGGAAAAGTAATTTTGAGGGGTTCAATTAACTAATTTTTATAAAATGCTAAAATTCTATTAGAAAAATGCATACACAAGTATTTCTTTCAAAATGCGTACTTTCTAATGTACGGAAATTAATTAAGTAAATAGCCAATTTGCAAGCCAAAGTGTTTTAATTTTTAAAAAATGTTGCACAATTCACCAAAACAAATGCAAAAATTTCAAGAATGGCGAAATTTCACCGACTTTCTCCCACTCTTCAACAGAAATTTGAAACAAAATTGTATAACCCCCAATTTTTCAGTTTCCCATATTTCCTTCAAACCCTGGTCTGTCATTCGAATTCCTGTCCTCATTGCGTCAAACCCTCGGAGAATTCAATCCTTCCCTGACGCAAACATAGTGCATGTACAAGGTGAAGGTGAAATCATCCCGGTACATCCAGCAGTCATAGCCGGAAACATGTCATCTTTCTCCTGCGTATGACACGGGCTGGCAGCAGAAGGGAGCGAATCCATTTAATTGAATCGAATTCCAATCCCAATCTTAGGCCGATCCTCCCAAAGTCAAGAAACTCATCAACTTGTCCAAATTGGAAAGTAAATTAAACTCGGAATTAATAACAACTTTCCTTGAATTAAGACACCATGATACCCAAACTAACTAACTAACTAACTCATCTCACGAATTTATGTAATGCCCAAAATAAATATGACGATGCGAATAACATTTCTAGGTGTGAAATTAAATTCGTAATAATTATCGACATCGCTGCTGACATCCTCGAGTACGTATGCTGTCTGAATTTCGTAGATAAATTAACGAGACAAGGCGTCACCGTCCTGTTGGTAAAGTGAAGTTGGAGGTGACCTTGTGGCCGCAGTGGCCGCGGAAGCGTGCAGGGGGCAGAGGGACAATGTCCCCACGGTTACTGCATGTCCGTATCATCTGCCCATGTTATATAAACCCGTCCCTCCCCTATCCTACAATGTTAATGTCCCCAGATGTCCCCTGATGTCGGCTTCCGCGACCACTGTTTGTGGGTAAAGATACCACTTGAGAGGGAGAGAGTCGAATCGTTATCATCAAGTTACATCGTATAAGTACGTACGTACAGGGTGAAAGTACAACGAGCAGAGTAAAACGTATATGTACATAAGTGCATATGTACACCCGTACGAGACAATTTTACTCAAACAAATGCAACCCGTTATCATCAATTTGCCCGGAAAGTGGCAAATATTGAGTTGCACAAGTATGTATGTGCAATCTTTTCCTGCCTTGTTGACAATAGAGAGACCGGCATGAAGGAAAGATAAAAAGGGTTAGTGTAGCATGAAATGGGAGAAAGTGGGATTTGTCTAAATTCTGTCTTTTAGTAGAAGAAAGTGGGACTTTGAGCTTTCAAATTTTGAAAAAAAGTTTCCCATTTATTTTTAAACCTTCCTTTCCCCAGAGAATCAACATGTGCACAACTTTGTCAAAGTAATTGGCATGATGGCCATGCTTCATCAGTTTGTAACGCATTTTGTTTGACGTTTTAAATACTTCTTCCAACTTGTATAACTTGCAAGAACAAAGAAACTGTCAAGTATCACTCGCCGTCTGTCAGGTTGACAATATTGGTTATAAATACGCATTGAACCACAAATTTGTCAGTGAAAGTTGACATTTGATTTTACTTATGTAAGAAGAAATCTTGAGAAATTGTTCACTAACTCGACAAACTTTGCCCAATTATGTAAGAAACGTTAATTGACAAGGTAATTATTTTTGTATTTACGATTACGTAATATGCAATCAGAGACTAGAGTTACTTACTTATTTTTGCGTGTGCCAGTTGCAAAAACCTTTGTGGCACTTGACGCTTTTTAGCCCGAACCAGGGTTTATGTAATTGTCATGTCCGTCTGTCTGTCTGTCTGTCTGTCTGTCCGTCTGTCTTTCGATAACTCTCGAACGAGTTGACCGATTGACTTGAAATTTTTACCATATGCATATTGGACAAAGTTAGGAAACGAGTTCGAAGATGGGTGACATTGGTCCAGTGGTTGACCGGTGGGGGTCATCGGAGTGGGTGGGGTATTATGCACCAAAATTTCAAAATCGTCATAGAGAGCTCAAATTTGGTACAAAGGTTGCTAATGGCCCGTAATGGAAGAATATGAAGTGAAATTGGTAAAATTTTAATCTAGAGGGACCCTATGGGGTGACCCCCACCGATTTTCAGAAATTAACATAGAAAGCTGAAATTTGGACCAGAGATCCATACTGCTTTTTCACGAAATAACATGAAGTTAAATATGAACAAAAATTAACCAGGGGGGCTATAGAGACGACCTCCACTAGGAAGTAGTCAAGGGAAGCCATAGTAAATATTTTTAGAATTTGGAGCCTAGTAATACGAAGGATTGATGGAAGAATTAGTGCAAAATAGTAGCACATAATTTCATAGAAAACTACGGACAAACATAGGTTTACTAATCATTCCTGGTTCGGGCTAAGCAAAGCTGTACTGATAGGTTTATCGTTATACTTTCTTTGCACGAAAAGTTGTAAACATTAATTTTACTAATGAGAATCCAATGACGAAAAGTAAAGTAAAAGTTTTTTTCTCCAAGTAGATTGCTTTTTCAACAAGTTCAGAATAGAACAGAGGATTTCCGAACTAGTTAAAATGCAAAGAGAGAGAACCCGACTAGAAAACGGGATGAGATTGAAGATACAAAATTGAAAGACACTTCCAAATCCTAAAGACCTAAATCATGTAATAAGCATGTAACTTTCACTATTTTTTTAAAAAATAGGTTGAATGAAACTTGCAAAATAGATAAATTCCCAAATTTATATATGCATCTGCTTATTAAAATATCGCTCATCTGATAACGCAGTAAGAAAAACAAAAATTCTTAAAAAGTATCGTGTTTTAAGAAACCTATTACCATTTACACAAAAATATTACATCCTTTCAAACGGGAAACCCGATTTGGGTAACAAAATATAAATAAAGTAACGAACTCACCTCTTTCGCCAAACGCGTGAAAAGATCGCCTCCACGGAGGAAATCGAGAATCAGGTAGAGTTTTCCTTCCGTTTGCTAAATATTAATAAACAGGAATAAAAATCAATGTCATTGCATTACTTTCAAGTCGGGTTAAATTTTCACGAAAAATGAAAATTAATAAACTTATTTAGATATCCATCGCTCATTCAAAAATGCAAATAGAGAATTCTACTTTCATTCAGAGTTCCATTGTCTCGTCTCTTTTTATTTCCAAAATTATTGACAAACTTGATACACATAGGTAGATGCAAATATTGAGCAAGTACTTTCTCCCAAATATGTACATACATGTCAGATGGAAAATTCTATTTAAAAAGTTACGATTGCGTAACAAAGAAGGGGAAAAACTTACAAAGGCGTAATGCAATCTCACGACGAACGGATGCTGTACTTCGGTCAGAATGTTCCGCTCCATCTTTGTCCTCACTCTGTCCCGAACTGTGAAATAAATAAGAACATAAAGCATTTAATATAATTCAGTTCCTCAATTGATAAATTAATAATACACAAATTGTTCTTTTAAATCCTATTAGAAACATGTTGGAAGTTTAATTGGCCTGAGTGCTGAGTGAGTTTAAGACTCGATAAATCCGAAAAAGAATGATTCCTGGCCTGGCAAAAAAGAAAAACCTGACTTTCTCCCACAAAATCTTATCCCAAATTACCCAACTTCCAGACATGATCCTCTCCAAACCATTTCTCTCTCCTCCCATCCTAAGATTTCTAATTTTCGATTTATTGCTTGGTGGGAATAGAAATGAAGAAATTATCTCGGCATATAAACAATTCACTGCAATCACCACCATTGCTGCTAAATAAACGCTCACGCTTTCACCAGTGCAGTCAGGAGAGAGAAATATCTGCCAAAAACTAAACAAAACCCGGTGAAGCTTATCTAACCAACGGGGAATTGATTTTTGGTTGGCCACGAATTCAAGTGGTACATACTATATCTACACACACAAGTAGGCTTTGTGCGGGCGGGTTGGATTTAGTTCATCATCAAGAACCGTTCAAGGAGAGGATGGTTAAGTAGTAATCTTGACATATCAGCAACTTCTTCTTATGTATGCGCCAAAGAATAATCGGATGATGACGATGATGATGATGCTCAACAGACCGGAACCACTTCACTCGTTCGTTACAATCTTCGTTACTCTTTTGTTGGCAGAAACATTATTCACCATCATCACCACCATTTATCATTACTCGACGAGGAAGGAATCAATACTTGCAATTTGCTCGACATTCTGATGTGATGCAAACGGTGGTGAAGGAACTGTGCTCGCGATAAGAGACCGCGTGACAGCGTCGTGATCAGATGAAAAGGGACAAAATTTCTACTTTGATGTTTTTAATATTTTGCATGCACAGGGAAAAAATACGGCAATCTTTGGGGTATAATTTTGATTGAATTTGTATTTATGTAGGATTTGAAGTATTTTGGAGCATAAATGACGTAAAAAAGTTGGTTGACCTTTTTCTGACTTTCTTTGATCTTTCTGGCCTTGATTTTGTATTAGTATGTATACACAATGTACCTAAATTATCAATTATCCAGGATGATTTCGTAAGATACGTATGTACTTATTTATTTGGCAAATCCCTTCAACAACAGAAGAGCCATCATTACGGGGAGATTGCAATTGAAGGATATTGTGTGCTACAGGCAAACTTGTATTTTCATAGACAAAGACGAACCAATTATGCAATTTGATTAAATAATGACACGAGAAGGCGAAATTATGCGAAATGTGTGGTTGTATGGATCAGAAACTGTCAGAAATTGGTGCACCACAAAAACAACGAACTTCTGCCACATCACTCACGTACTTACGTTGGAATAAGAATTATATATGTAGCAATTAATAAATAAGCGGTTTAGCTCAACCACCTGGAAATCCATTTAGATCTTCGCATGCACCACATACATGCTTACATAACAGGCACGAATACTTACAAAACGACATCCATCCAGCTTCACGGCATTACCTCGGATGAGTTTCGATTACCGTGATCACAGGATTATTTGATAATTCGAAACGTAGTCATTACTTAAATGCGGCTCCATTTAAGTAATACATTCGAGCATTGCATTGTCTTTCTTACCCTCATAAATTATGCAGCTGTATACTTTCTCCACGTACGTAAACATTGCCCGACCCGACTCCATCATTACCTAATGACATTAAACTGCACCGGCTGGAAGTTTTAATAGTGTGCGGAATAATTAATGGACATAATTACGCGGTAAGAAAGATACACATATTTACGTCAAAACAGTCACTATTGCAATTTTCTGACACTTAAATTCGCACGGAAATCAATATTAAGAATGAAACGCGAGAATGAAATTGCCTCGCGGAATATAATCCGACTGAAGACACCCGGCCAAAAAACAGAGGACTTCCTTTATACGGCTTATTATTACTGCTTTCACCTCCATCCGTGTAATGGGTGTGTCCCATTACACCAGTCCCATACGTACATCACATTACGCCAAAATAGCCGTGTTTGTCGATTTTAATGGGTTATAAGTACATAGTCTGTACACAGAGTGAAAGTCCTGAAAAGATGTAGCTTTCGCGTAACAACCATGAAAATGAGCTCATACTCACAGTCCATTTCACGTGTGTGGGTACATGCAAAATTTCCATCTCCGCGTATAATTCGACGTTCAACCTGCCAAATAAATGGGTAATAAAGATACACTTATTTTTTTCTACCTCCCATTTTATACGGAACACAGGGTAACATAACATCGTAACGGACAAAGTACGCCCGCGGGGACGAGTGTGTGTACGAAATGTTGTTCTGCAGTATAAACACGGCTCAGGAAAAAAAATAAGTAGGGAAACCTAATACAGGGCAGATAATGGACAGAGAAGAGAGGAAACTACTGGAAGGAAGGTTCGGGTTTCGGTTTATTTTTATGTTTTGGTATTTTGGGAATTTAAGCTGAAATCTGGTGTGAGAAAATTGCAAATATTTATACATCAGTTACACAACATCACAAGTTATTGCAAATGGACTGGCTTCATACGACGCAGAAACTACAATTTTCCCAGTATTTCCGAATTAAGAAATTTCAGGAACAAAAGTAATTTGACCTCACCTTATTACACTTTAGGAGGATAAGCCACGTGTATAAGTATACTATAAGAAGTATATCCGTATGATACTCTATATAAAAAATGACATAAAATCTGGCAAAGTTTTCAGAAAACTTGTCCCCATAAAAATCACGAGGTGCCACAATACTGCTTAACACAGGCGTTTCCTGTAATGTGTTTTTCTCCCATAATGATAAATAAAAGTCGTAAAAATATATCGCAGATAAAACAAAATCGATACGCCCCTGGAAGCCACGAGGCGACAGGTATTGATACGTACACGCAGTTATTGTTTATGCCTGCCTGCCTGCTTTCTCTTCGGGCGGGTGACGACTTTCGACACCCGAAGCCCTCGATGGATTCAACACCAAACAACACAACGAAGCTAATCAGGCGGAATAAGTAGAATGTGAATCTGTGCGATGCGATATGACGTGGGTGACGGGAAACGTGATATTATTATGGTTTCCTGACACCCTGAATGTCAACGGTATTTGTACACTGGAAATAATAAAGTGGTCATAAAACTGTCAACGAGGGCATGCATTTTATGCAGATATGGTGACAATGTGTTACTGTTTGGTAGTATTAATTGGTTATTTGCAAAGTAAAATTTGCTACCACAAAATTGGAATACATTTTCATGGGAGGTTCACAAATTCAAGTTCTGTTGAAATTATTGTTCCCGTTCGGTGGCAAATCATTACCAACGGGATAAAGCTGTATGTATATGTAGTACCCAAACATTTTTGTTACCAAATTACATACCCAGATTCGTAAATATATATTGGAAATATAAGCTGCCAAAGGAGGGGGAAGATATGCGCACGTAATTTAAGACCCAGGTCTAATGATTTCTTGTCGACTCATGTTACGTTACAAGATTGAGTAATTTTGCCAAAACCAAAATACACACATGCATAGACAACAAGTTGACAATGAAATTTTGATTTGTCAACAACAGACAGACTTGATATGCAAATTGTCTTTTGTTGTTGTGCGACAAAGTAAGCTTTACTTACTTATAAGCTCGAACTTTCCCTGGGTTGACGTCATTCTCTAATGTCGACTAATAAATAAGAGAGAAAATGATAAAATCTAGCCAAAACAGATACGCAATTCGAGTCAGACGAGTTGAGTTGCAAGAAAGTAAGCCTGCAGGCTAAAATTTACGAAACGCATAAGCTCGTAGAAGCTTATATGACTCGAAGAAAACGACTTGATAGATATGAAATGAAATGAAACGCTACTTTTTACGGGATCAGGAGAAAGTTCAGCACGAGACAAAAACTAACCGTCCAATTTGGAAGATGCACTTAAAATAATTATAGTAATTTGTAAAATATAATTCTTTTTTCTTATGCAACTCGACTTTTTATAATTACTGCGTTTTTTCAGTTTTTTTTAGTTTTTTTTACAGATATCATTACTAAAATGGACAGAGATACGAGAAACCTTGCGGATATATATCTTGCTCCCCTCAAGTATACTTTTTCCTCATTAATTTTTTACGCAGTCGTTCGTTCATTTCATTTCCTTCGTAATTACGGTAAAACACACTTCAAGGTCAAAGAAGCCAACAAATTCTTGGAGTGGAAAACATTTGGTGGAACAACAAAGCCATGTTTTCCCTGTTGATTCAAGCATGCATCATACATATAGATTGAAATAAGTGAAAACCCTCCTGCCCGCATTGACGAGAGGTTAGGTACGTACAACACGCGGTGCGTAATTAATAAGTAATTGCTCTCGTGGTTTACATCTTTATTACGACGAGGGAAATACATACGTACGGAATATGACTTTCTCTAGGAAAATGTATCAAACTCACAAAACTTTTACAGCAGGTCTCAATTTATGGTAATAAAATTCCCTTCCACTGTGCTACTCACGCCATCAGGTTATTCGTACATCCATGCATGAATAAGTAACCCGAATAATCGTAATTGTACGCAGAACTTCCTCTCATCCTCGCGATGGAAAGTAAGTAAGTGAAATTTCCATCCGGAACATGCCACCCAGCACAAATACGGAGATATGTACGACATTTAAATATAGTCAAAAACCGATGTAAAAAATCGTTCCTATTCGAACCGAGATCAAAAGAAAATCTCAATGTTAACTAGATCGACGAACAAAAAAAGTATGCCGCATCTCATCTTCAGCTTCAGCTTGGCAAAGTTTTTGTCCATGTCATTTGTTCAGGGTGAAAACTCTGTAAAACTTTTACCCGACCAATTTCATTCAAGTAAAGTTGTGAAACAGGCAGTGGGTGTTGGTGGGTGGTATCTATCTATTAGTTTGTTGGATATAAATGAATCGCTTATACTTGACAGAATTTACTTCCTGGAAAAACGAGGGAAATATAAAATATAAATATCTATATCTACGTATAACCAAGGAATAAACCGCAGTATACAGTTTCCTCCTCCGAAGTGAGATCGACGAGATTATGGACGCAACGCAACTAACTGTTGCCGAACAAAAAAGAGGAAGAAGAAGAAAGACTTTTTGGCAATGAGATCATTAATCATCGTGAGACAAAGGAAACTATGTGTACTGCTTCTCTCCCCGTCTTCCTATCCAATCTAGAGCAAGGCGTGATCTTCAGGATCTTATCGGGAGAGACAATTCTGAGAAGCGTGGTTGGTAACTATAATCCAAGGTCTCGAGTTTCTGACGTACATGAAAGTTCATGAACTTGTAGTTTCATTGCCGTGAATGTGCATGCATATTTCGGTCGAGTAGAAATTTTAAATTTTGTAAATTGGTAAGTTTTGTTTTTAATTTTATGTAAATTAATACTAATATTTTGAACTGATTAGATTGAATCTCACAAAGATAAAATATTATGGCACGCCATGATTAAGAAAAGTTAAATTAGATAAAAACTTTGTATGACATGAAAAATGCTGGAATTCTGGGAGAAAGTGGGCGATATACACCCGACACGTCACGGCGACACCCTTCCGCCCAGTTTGCCACATATCTGCATTTCGTGCCATAGTGTTGCCAAACCGAAAAGCACGCTAGATTTCGGCCTGCCTTATCTTCTTCCCAAGACTCTTCCCTCATCCTTTTCTCGCATCCAGAATTACAATTGCACATTCCATCCAGCAACACGTTGCGAAACCAAATTCAATTAAACTGACACGAACGAATATCGAGTGAATTGAATTTTGATGGAACGACGTCTCGATAACAGAAAATAACTACAGGACAACTGCAACAGCCAGCACACATTATTCCGAGAAAATGCCAAGCAGTTAAGTGAGAACACAATAAAAAAAGAGATACACACACAAAAAAAGGAAATTTGTGAAAGAGTGACATTTCTGACACAACTAGAATTGATGAATGGAGTGGAAATTGCCAAATTCGAGACGACACACAAAGAAGCATAACGAACCTCATCGATCAAGGAAGCCCAACAATCAACAATTGGCCAGAAAACCTTTGTCCCATTATTGTGAAGATCTGTCAAACCGCGATGCGACATGCATGGTCAAACCAACCAAGTAAACTGAGAAAGAGGAGGATCGATAAATAGTTGATGGTGCAGAAAGCACCATTTATTTATCTGTCTGCTGTCTTCTCTGGACTTATGTTATGTATGTGATGAATGCCACGTTTTGGACTGTTGACTCGAGAAAATAGGCAGGGTTTCTGGTTCTGGGTAGGTTTAAGAAATTTATTGAACTTGAGAGTTGTCTTAAGAATCGATTTCAGAAGATGGAAGAATTTTTAGGATGATCTATTTCTCGGGAAATTTCAAACTAGTCTCAATTTTATACTGGATTTCTAACCGTGCCGAAAAATGACTTAACATTTCGACGAATAGAATTTACGTAAAAAATTTCTTTTTCGAATTTAATTGTGGACTGACAATTTTTTATGGTTTTTTGTTATACCTGCATTCCAAAGATGGAATTGAGCAACTTCTATATTATAGTTTACTCATTCAAGATGACATGTCAGTCAAGTTAAGTCATGTTATAAAATTATCTATTAATAAATCTGTAAAAAAAATCCAAACTTTTAAAATTTCTATATTTTAGATAGAAATAATGCAAATCAAAACCTCCCAAAACCCCGAAAAACACCACGATGAATTTTCGGAATATGAAAACCCCCGAGTTTTTCCTACCCCTGTAGTCAAAAACTTGGCTTTTCATTCTCTCAAACCACTCCGGAAAACGGACAACTTTGCAACTCCGACTTGACGAAGCCTCAGTCATCTTCCTTTCAAAAGGAGACACTTAAAGTGGAGTGGACACGGAGAAAGTGGAATGAATAATAATAATGATAATGAAATACTCTGCCTCCAGTTCAAGAAGGGAAGGGAAACCATTTTAAAACGAAAAGAAATAAACTCGACTTCCCCGACTTTCTCTTCTTCCAAATAAAGCAAGAGGAAATTCCGTTTGGATAAATACAAGATCAAAAATGGTCCGTTTGCAAGCAAAGCACGAATTTCTCTGAATGTCGTTTTTGTTCAATTTGTTCTCAGAGAAAGTATGCGTGCATGAAGAGAAAGAACATCTGCCACGATGCTCCGAGAGAAATTGATCGTACGAATAAAAAATAGAACAAACAGGAATACATGGAAGACACACTCTAAATAATTTGGTGGTAGTAATGTGTTACCGAGTGGTGATTAAGTAGGGCAATAAGTTCACAGTTATCTACCATTAATTCATACATATTTGTTACACTGTTAAAAATGTGGTCACTCATCAATTCCGTGCTGGTATAAATTGGGGAATAACATGCTCCCGGATTGATAATAGTTGTTTCTGAGTGGTGAGTTTTCATTACCACACAATATTACTATACGGTAATGCCCATTATTACCGTGCCGGTGAAGTCACATATGTGTTCCGGTCGGTAATGATTCATTACCATTTTTCTACCATTCCTTTACAAATTATCATCAAAACGGTTTTAAATCTAGTAACAAATGATTACCAAAATTCGCAGTCTTTCATGCATTGCAACCGACGGGTAACAAATTGCTACCCAAATTATTTAGAGTGTCGAATAAAAAAAAAGTAAAAATTGCACCAGAATCTGTACAGCTTTTTAACCCAAATATGCGCATCCATAGAAGGACAGTAGTCAGTTGTGGATGGGAGTAATAAAAAACGAGCATAAATCACACATTCCTTTCCGAAGAAAACGAAATCACAGAAATAAATAAACTGTTGATCTCCCACTGCTCCAAGGACGTGCAATATTTCACCCTGAAAAAGCAGACGAGCTCTTATGCGAATATTTTTTTATCAAAAAGCTGGCCAGGAAATCGATTCAGCGTTATTATGAACATCATCGCTCTTAAAAAGAAGTCGTGAGTCACACGTTGTATTCACACAAGGGGAAAGAATTCCGTGCCTTTTCAACTTCCAACAATTTATGATGCAAATAAAAATTTGGTAAGTGCTGTACAATAAAAGCTTACCTTTCAGTGTCGCCTTTCTCAACACTTTCATGGCGTAGAGGGTTCCACCATCGTTTCCAACCACTTTTCGGACAAGGAACACCTGCAAAATGAGACTTATTTATCAAAATGATGGTATTTTTGGTAGATATGTAAAATTTAGGAACGAATTAATAATCAAAGAGCATGCGAAATTCTTTAATATTTTGTATTGTGCAAAAAACGTACTTTTTTTTAAATATGTACAATTTAATCTCATAAAAATATATTTTTCATGAAATTGCTAATAAAAACAGGGTTTCAAGATTTCAAGATTTTTGATCCGCAAATCAAAAATCTCTTAAATACCCGAAATTTCTCAAAATTACTCAAAATTTCAAAAAAATATCCACCTACCTTTCCGAACGAACCCTGCCCCAGTACTTTGAGCAGCTCGAATTGTGAAGGGTCCGCTTTTTCGTGACCTTCTCGTGTCACATCGTTGACCTCGATTTCTGCCTCGACCCCGTTCATGGGTTCTTCCGAGTCATCCGGCGTCCCTGCAGGGCTTCCCCGCTTGGAACCGTTGTTGTTAGCGTTGCTCTGACTCTGACTCGAGGTGGGGGAAGGCTGTCCACGAATTAACAGGTGGGCAAAATTAGCCAAGGTGCACAAACCACGGTTCTTCCAACCCTTATTTACTCCCATTTCGTTAATATTCACTTATTTGGTGTCTGGTTATCAAAAAGTGGTTCTCTTTTTTTTACGTAAAAAACGATCAGCACACTTATAGCTCAACTTTTTTTCTAGCATCAATGTCAATCTTTATCAAATTTGTCACTAAATTTCATCCGACAATCCAAAAAGAACGTTACACCATCATCCCATTTACCATGACATGTACACAAGTATTTCCACTATCAGGGTACAAATTCTCCACTTTGGTACGTCCAAGGTTAGATTTTACGATCTAATTTTTTCTGGCACATCTGCACTCTAATAACGATCCCGATATATTCCAGCACGTAGTAAATACTTACATAGATCTATACTTAATCTCGCTCGTGATCAATATCACGATAAATGGGGTAAACAATTCCACCATTGTTTTGTATCTATCTAGAAGGCACACACGAATCTAATACATAATCCGAAAACCTCAAGAGATCTCTGCCTCTTCTTGCTACATATCAGAATGTCGGGGATTTTAGCAGATTTATATTCCCAATCTCTTCATCATTCCGTCTCAGCGATTCTTCTTTCTTTTTCTCCTCAAGAAGACAGACACAGAAAAAAGTAAATAAATCCAAGAAAAAATCGAGAAAAAAAATAAATCCAATGCGGGTCTGTATCTGGACACACGAAGAAATAAAACTGATCCAATCTGCCAACAGTAGTGCTTGAAGAATAACTTGATTTCAGCTCCGTGAACTGGACTGAGGAGGAGACTTAATTGGATCTGGACTGGATATCGACCTAACTAACTAAATAACTAGGGTAGGAATTGAAGTAGGTTGTACGTGGAGGTTGTGACATACAATTATTATGCAAGTGAGTATTGCACAATTACTACTACCCGCATGGAAATAATATATAATTGTACCGGGCACTACGTCACCCGGGTTGGACAGTCACAAGGGATGAGGGATCTAATTCTAGACCTGTAGAAATGTGATCCTGTTGCTTTCGCTGAAACCTTATTAGCAACGAGACATGTCCACAGGACTTTCGGCGTAGGAAAATGCACTGCAAGAGAGAGATGTGCTCCTGCTGCTCTTAGAAGTAATGTCTACCACGGGATTTAATTTGCGGATTCGGATTTCCCATTTGTTCACACTAACTCTCGAACCCAAGAAGACGAAGAAAAACCAAACCACTCAATCTAAAAAGCCAGACGGGAAAGTTTGGCTGCTTTTACTTTCGCCTGGTTAAATTGACACGAGGAGAAAAAGTAAAAGTCTGTGAGAGACCAGGGTAAAGGTTAGAAGAAGAACAAAAAACTGGTTCTTTCTTTTTTAGTGGGACACGATTCTCGTTTTTTTTCTCTCTCTGCACTCGCACTCAGGAACAGATGTATATGCAGAGAATGTGGAATTGTCTTAAAAAAATCGGGGTAAAATGGACCACAAAATTGTACCCACGCCCGTGTCAAGCTACACACTAAAACCAAACCAGAGAACAATTTAATGAGATTATTTCACTCTTTTGCGGCTGGTCGTGTTTCTTCGCAGAGAACGTTTCTCTCTTTAATATTCTTTTCATCCAGAAACTTGGAATAATCCAACATGGGTTTCTTTTTTTTTTGTTTAAAGAGATGAAAGGTCGAGACAGGGTGAAAAGTTAACTTGACCCATTTTCCTCTCCTGCCAGATTTATTTTTTTTCTTCAAAACAATAGCGACCCACAAAACTATCAAGGAAGGATAAACCACAAGATAAGAGTTTCCAAACAGATGCACTTTTTTGAAGGTTATTATAACACAAGTTAGTTATACATAAACTGTTCTCGTTAAGGAAAAAATATATAATTTTTTCCTAATTTCATAGACTAAACAAAACACAGCTTAAACTCCAGATAAGAAGAACAATGGAATCGTCACTAGTCAAACAATGAACCCAAATCCAAACTTGCAACGTTTTTCAGCCAAGTCAATAACGGAATATTCCACACTGGTCAAGTTTTCTCACATGTAAAATCCTGGCTTAAAACGACCCAAGTAAAATAATGACTCACTAATCTTCTTCACAGCCCAAACTGCAACTAAACTAAACTCAAGATGCGATGCGATGCGGTGCGACGTGTGTATGGAATCCCAAGTGTCGATTGCTTTAAGAGTTGTTTTGACTTTGGTGAGCAAATCTTACGAGGAATTCTATATCATAAACAATTCTTAAGGCCAAGAAGATCTTAAAATCTCACCCACAACTGGGCATGCACGGTCGGGATGGATGGGTGCATGCCTATTTTGAGACAACAAAATAGTAATATCCCACACACAAGCATTCCTCTAAAAACTGCTTTATCTACATGATATTTTGTTATGATCTCCATTACCAGAATGGTTACGAGTTACGAAGAAAAACTCTGGTGAAGTTGAGAATTCTTGATGATTTTGTGGAAATTCGAGTACGACCTAAAAGTCTTGATGTGAGGAAAAATTCGGCAATTATGGACCGAGATCAATAGTATAATTGGTGCTTTTGTTGATAAGTGGGTAGTAATTAGAGGCACGGCATTACTCAAAAACTGAAATTTTTCAACAGTGCTAAAAACCAGGACAGGTTTGTGGTGGGTAAATGTTTGCCCACATTATGCAAATATCCAGCACAGCATATCAACAACATCATTTTTCTAATGGTAACAACTTGCTTGGAAAAATATTAATTTTTATGTTGAAGACAATGCAAAAAATAAAGTTTTGTGCAAATTATATTTGCAAAGCCATCACCATTTTCGCACTTGGGTTTAAATTGTTCGCGACAATTTTGCATTCTAATGTCAATCTCTCCAGATTTAACGAGAGCTCGTCCATTTTTTATTACTACACGAATACCTGGAAGTTTCCCATTATGTATTCTGCGTCAGACGGAACTGCCAGTCAAACCGGACCCCTGGTGGGTCGTGAATATCTCGCATTTTACTCTCCATCCATACGATTAAATATCCCTGGCAAGAAAGAATAGTGGCGTAAAAAATTGGAAATACCGACCAGCCAACCACTCGCATATACGTACACATTTATTTTATATGCACATAATGTACACTTGTACTGCATCAATCCGCCATAAACGGTATGATACGTGTAAAATGCCTCCTCAAAGTTAGAGGTAGTTAAGATTTAGCATACATAAGTCCAGATGAAGTATCCGCAAAAAAGTGCTCACTCGCAAAAAAATGGTTTGTCGTAAATTATTATAACAGCCACGAGGATGGATTGATTGCCAATAAGCAAGTTGGCAAGCGAGTTGTGTGTAGTTACGTCTTTTTAGTATCACGCAATCCATCAGATCAGCCAATCGGCCGTGACAATGAATTTCTTTCTAAGAGAGATGCGAATCAAGGTCCTTTACACGCCGATTGTGCAGAGGTTTATTTAAGCGTGGTCAGTATCATAACGTAACGAAACTGCATTTCAACCATGGCTAATGATTCTAGTCAACCTCAATTCCTGGTACGAATTTAGTGAAAAAGTCAACTGGCTAAAACTGCTTGTTGTCACTAAATATCTAAATCATGCAGGTCTCATTAGCTCGATTTTAGCTGGGGTTTTACCACAAAGGTGGATTTCTCATTGTTTTGTTATGATGGACGATTTAATGTAAAGTAAGGAAGTCGATGTTGGAAAAATTGGAAATTTAATTGCATTAAATTGTGTTCAGGATGATTCTAATTGAAGTTATGCTACTAAATAATTAGTAATTAGGTATTAATGATGACTCTAATTTTACAATACTTTTTTACATCGTCACCTTATTAACGAGTCATTTTACACGCGTAATAACGACACAATTGACAAAATGACGCAACCAAATCACAATTTACATGAGAATTGCAAAAAATTGACAAAACACGGAAGCATGGAAGGTATGATCTTTTGTCTTAATAAGCAACCGCACCCATCATGACACCCACCACCACGACCACCTAGTGCACGTACTAAAATGTGACATTTTTATCCACTCGTCGTAACCCACAAAAAATGCATAACATTACAAGACGACGACGACATAAGCATCATCTGACCTTATCAATTTGGATGATCAAAGAAATCGACCAAGCAATCGTCTCCACGTGAATATTTCCAACTGCCTACTCAATTATATACAAGTATTATTGTTACTTTTGTTACGATTTAGTGAAGAGCGAGTGCATTTCGTAAATTGTTTTGTCAAACGATGCGGGCACCATAGCCCCGGCCAATTAAGGACGTACTTGGTAAATGTATGAATATATACCAATAAATAGCTGGACTGGAAAAGGACCCAATAAATATTTGGGACATGAACAGGACACACTTTTGCTGACATCATTCCATTCAGATGAATCATTTCTAGTTGGTCAAGATACTGGTTTTCTTACTCAACACTGGAACAAATGCATACAAACCTATCTCTTCATACATACTGACGTACATAATTTAAACGTATACACAACTGGCCAAAGAACCCGGATGACTATGTCCAAAAGTATATACAAGACTTGTCGAAACTGCACGAATATTTAGATTAGCATATAACGACTAATTGTCTCATCAAAGTTAAGTAGCCCGTCATTATCATCTTGATGCTATCATCATCTCCTCCTATTCACCATTCCTCCATCAAATAATGGTTTGGTGTATAGCGTTACACCACAAAGACCAAGAGTTTGCCGCAGTTGTATCCATTTCTAAACAGGAATTAGGCAGAATTCTCTCCTCTCTTTATGCCAGAACAATGGCCGGATTTCCTTTCAGAAGATGCGGTTTGGTAACCCAATCGCCAAGAAAGGCAAGGATTGACGTACGTATTTTCGTCCAAGAATTATTCGCCAAGGGCGCAGAGATTCAGTTTTTCTGCAAATACGACACCCAAAAACTCTTGCTTTTATCACCATATTCCGTGTCATCACATAAATAGACACGCTTTATTCCGGCCGGACAAATTGAGGCTTTGCCTGATAAAATACCAACCCCAAGGTTAACCAAACAACTAATAGGTTCACGGCCAAAGTGGAAAAAGGCTTAATTTGTATGGCGAAATAATGTCACATACATTCTCCAATGAAACGGCATGTCTTGTGGAAAACCCCAAAGCAAACGGTGCCCACACCGGGTAAAGTTTACTCTTCGTGGGCGTTAAGGATTATTATTGTACATTTCACAAGATTCACACCCGGCCGCCCTAGTCAAACAAGTCGGAGAAATGAAAACCAGTTTGCTTCCCGATAACTGTTTTAAACAAGAACTTTTCGAAAGAAATAAGCGGAGGAGGCGTCGCTAATGCGTATTTTATTCCTCCCCAGCCAGCTGGACCGATTCCATCCACCGACCGACAAAGCCAAATCCGGTTCAATATACTCGCTACCCAAGGCAAACAAGAAGTGATGATGATCGTCATCATCAGCGAACGTTACCGTCAAAACAAATTACGGGGGAAGGAAACGGAAAGTTGGGGCGAGCCTAGCACAGGATTGGATTCCCGTCGAGAGAGAGTGAAAGTTAGCTCGTTTGTCGAGAAAAACAATACTTTCTTCTTTTCCCTTAAGTTATACAGAGTTTCGCAGATTTCCGTGGAACGTGGCCTCTTTGATCTCGAGAAACAAGGTGTCTTAACTATTCGAGTAGTTTGACTTGACAAGATTAGATATTTGAATTGGCTGTGTTTCGTTTCCAGAATTTTTTTTAGAAAATCCGGTTGAACAAGGCAACCAGCCAAGTCGATGGTTAAGAGGCAGGATTTTCCCTAAGGATTAATTGCGATGCACTGAAAAGCATGACCTTTTTTGACCCCATTATTTCCTACATGCATTAGGATAACCGGATAAAATACATGTCCTCGTTCACCTTGAAATATGTTCAGCCTCAACCAAACTCCAAGGTTGTTACTTTACTACACTCTTTTATTCACAAAGAGAAAGTACTTATACATAAATTACAATTCGAAACATTACCAACAAAGTCGTCCCTGAATCTAAAATTGTACAGGGCAGAATCTTATCTTCCAGATAAAAGGAATCTGTTGTCAAAGAATTTCCACAGTTTAAATCCCAGCCAACCATTCGACCCTACGTCTTAAAAAAAGATTAAAGATAAACTTGGATGCATTTCGGTTCAAGAGAAAGCATGATAAGAGAAGCACTCTCAATGCCCGAATTTAAAACGTGATGCGCACATACTCGTACGTACCCAACCAACTTTCTCTTACCTGCTTGAATGGAAACTGAAAGAGAATAATCTAAAACTGGACATGTTAAAAATTCAACGTTTCTAAACTCAATTTACTTTCTTGCAAGTTTCTTTCGTAAGAGGAAGAAATGTGATATTCGGCCACTCCAGCCCAGTTACGAACTTACTACTCATTCACCTACCTAAAGTGCGATCCTGCCCTAAAACAAAATAAGTACGTCCATAAGGAAGAAAGGTGTCGAAAGTTGGGGAAGAAGTTTGCTTTACAAATTTAACAAGACATACACGTGCCCATTGTGTTTCGCAACTCGTTTGTTTTCGATGGCCAAGGTTGACTAAAAATTTTTGAGGTGACTGTCATCCTAAATTCTGCTCACATCGGGGTTCAGCCAGCTCGTGAGAGAATATTGACGCGATCATGGAAAAGATACACGGAAAAGTTATGGAGTGATGATACTCGTGATGTGTACGAGAATGACTCGTGACGTTCAATAAAGAATAATAGTGCTTCAATTTCAATCCTTTTTGGGACAGGGTTTCGTTTTGAAATGGAGTTATTTTGTGGTATGAAAGTTTGTAAAAGGGTGTCGCCGCGACTAAATTTCACTCATTTTGTGCTACTTAGGGAGAAAATGGGAGGAAAAAATTATAAATTTTGTATCAATATTGTGTTAAACTTTTAATTTATATTTTTGAGATAAATAACGTCGCTAAAATTATTTTGATATAATTTTTGTTACATTCGATTATCACTAAATAGGTATGAAGGATGAGATTGTGGAATATAACTTTGCATTGCACATTTTCATAAAATTTTGAAATATGTATAAGAAACATTTCACAAATTGGTTTTCACACTTGGCACTTTAGTTTTATCATCAAATATGAACAGGATAGTATACTGAACAGTTAAACGCAGTGTTATCAATGCCTCTTTTCTCCTCTGTTGTATAATATAAGGAATGTGTACTAAAAGGCCTTTCCCAGGAAAACCACTTAACTTTACTCCTTTCGTATTGTTGATACAAGGTGCATGGCTCACTAAATAATCTCGTAATATTATCAAACCCCCCGACAGACGGACAGAAAAAATTCGTATCGTCGTCTCTTTTAACCTCACGGACGGCAAAGAGTAAAGTCTGGCTGAGTGGTGACCTCTCAAGTCGTGCAAATGGGCGTGGTGTCATCATTTTCATGTCTTTACTCATACAAATGGGAAATCGATCGGAAATGTAAGCCTTACCAGAAATCTTGAGGATTGGAAATTTCATGCCGTACAAAAGTACCACCTAAATCTACACCAGAGTCAGAAAGAGTGGAGAAAATACTAAAATGGGACATAAACCTGTATTCAAAAGGAGCCCAAAATGCAGTATGGTACGAAATTGACTCCCCTTTTCTACTCTTTCTCTCCAAATTTGAATGGATTGCCCAGCGAAAGAAACCCAGCTGGACAACAACAAAAGGAAATCTCAATCTCCCATCCAATCCATCAGATTTGGGGGAAGGAAGTCGTAAAGTAGCAGAAAACCTATCTAGGTTAGCGTCGTAATGTAAACAT